AAGCAAAGTACAAAAATCCTACCTTGCTAAAATAAAACTATCAATACTAACTCACAGCTTATTTTTCAACATACTTCCTAATTCTGTCTGATGAAAGGGCCTAGAAGCAATGAATATACTTAGTACTCACACTGGTTTCTAAGTACTAATCTTCACAAAAAGAACCACTGATCCTTAAGAGAAATGGATGATTCCAATGACTGAAACAAGTACATAATGAGCCTAGGTCATATTATTATGCAAGAAAGCAAGGGAAGAGCTCAAAGATGTAAGGGTTACATCAAAGGGATACAAGAGAGAGCTTGAAATGGTTTCTAAGGGTCAGATCAAAAACTTCAGCATTTAAAAAAAAAAAAAGAAAAGAAAGAAAAAAACCAAAACCTGTATTAGATTTAGTAAGTAAAAAACTAGTGATACTTTCTTCCTTGGTATACCCCCCATATATTGTATGCAGAAGTGTTTTATTCATACTTGATTTGTCACACAGAATGTTAGTGTATTCATGGGTCAAGATTTAATAAAATTAATAATTCTTATTTCTTAATCAAGGGCTCTACAAAGAAACTTTTCAAAATGTGTAGCATATGGCAATGAAGAATATGACTACTGGAATACTTCTGAAGGGCCTACCTTGAAAAACTGACAAACTAGCAATTTTATTTATTTGTTTGTTTATTTATTTTGTCTTTTCTTTTTTTGTGCTGGGATCGAACCCAGGGCCTCACGCATGCTAGGCAAGCACTGTACCACCGAGCTACATCCCAGCCCCCAAACTAGCAATTTTAGACTTGGGTAACTGGCATGCATACTCTTGAAAAGGAACAAAATAAGACTGCTGCTGTCAATTATTTTCCTTTAATTATCTGGTGCCAATCAAAAATTTTGAGGGGCTGGCAAAGTGCTTCAAGAGATAGAGCACCTGCTTAGCAAGAGTGAGGCCCTGAGTTCAAACCCCAGTCCACCAACAATAAATAAATATTTGAGCTTAAAACTGAGCACCTGTAGCTTAGGCCTATAATCATAGCTACTCAGGAGGCAGAGATCAAGAGGATGGAGGTTCAAGGCCAGCCAAAGCAAATAGTTTGCAAGACCTTAGCTGGAAAATACCCAACACAAAAAAGGGCTCTGGAGTGGCTTGAGTAGGAGAGTGCCTGCCTAGCAAATGTGAGGCCTTGTGTTCAAATCCTGGTACTGCCAAAAATAAATAAAATTTTAACTTTCCAGCAGAAAGTAAGATTTTGGAGAATTTAAATCTACTGCTGTGAACATGAACAAATTTTTCTAATGAGTTCAGCAATAATATTAATGCAAAATCTTCATAGTGTATAATAAAAATGTGTTACCATTTGAAATATGTGAATAACATGGTATAGCCAAAATTTTCAAAATTAACAGTGTATAATGCTACAAAGCATAGATGGATAAAAGACCCATTCAAAATCCAAGACAAAGGGCTGGAGGAGTGGCTCAAGCAGTAAGAGCACCTGCTTAGCAAGCAAGCGTGAGGCCCTGAGTTCAAACCCCAGTGCTGAAGAAAAAAAAAAAAAATCCAAGACAGAGCAACAGATTTTAATAAAACAGCATGAAAGGTTCACTGTGGTGGCTTTAATCTTTAAGAAACTCCCACTTGGTCATGGGCAGAAGGGGCGGGAGAAGGTTTGCTCAAGGGAAAAGCACCTGCCTACCAAGTGGGAGGCCTTGAGTTCAAACCCCAGTACTGCCAAAAGAAAAAGAAAAAGAAATAAGCTCCCACTTGATGAGTTTTGATATAGTATCAATATCCAAAATCACTTGAAAAATCTACCTAAAATACAGCTACATAGCTATATGAGGTTGAATTTTCCTCATGCATTTCAACAAGGATAGCAAATAAAGCATACCAGATACAAAAGAAGATATAAGAAACCAACTGTCTCTTGACTTTAAAGAGAAGTACAAAACAAAAACAATGCTATTCTTCTAATTTTTTTATTTGAAAATAATTTTTCATAAAAATATATTAATGTCATGGATTTATTATTTTAGGTGAATTATAAATAAACGTGCTTGAAATTTATTTTGTTTTTTGAGACAAAACTTGCAATCCTCCTGCCTCAGTCTCCCAAGTGCTAGAAAAACAAGTATGTTAACCACATCCAGCTCTAAACTGATTGGTACAATCCATATTATTAAATGCTCTTTGGGGTGCTTAGTAAATTTTTTAAAGAATGCTAAATGGTCCTGAGACACCACTCCAAAATTGATAACTATTACTCTTCAAATTAACACACGCCAAACACAATTTGATAGAAACTTAAAGCCTCATCTAAGTACCTGGGATTAGAGTATAGAACAGATACTTTAAAAATTCCCAATGGGCTTTTATACAAGTAAAAGAAAAAAATAAGGCCATTAAAAATTATACTCCAGTTGCATAAAAGCAGCTCAATTTACAAGTTGTGTTGGCAACTTCTAACTATAACTTTTAATAACAAACTAGCACTTTAACAAGGTATTGAAGTAAAAGAATTAGTTTTTCAAAAAAGGTAAAGTTGTGCAAATAATTCTTTTTTGTTTTTTGGTGGTACTGAGGTTTTTAACTCAGGGCCTCCCCCAAGCACTCTAACATTTGAGCCATGATCGAGCCCTTTTTGCTATACTTTTCAAATACTTTCTTAAAGCTTTTGCTCAGGCCAGCCTCTAATTACAATCTTCCTACCTCTACATACATTACTTGTGGCTGGGATTACAGTTGTGAACCACCACAAACAACCTGGATTATTCTTTGAGATAAGATCTCACTAACTTTTTTGACAGGGTTGGCCTCAAACAAAAGATTATTCTATCTCAGCCTATCAAGTAGCTGGGATTACAGACAGATGTGAGCCACCAGACCTGGCACAAATTATTCTTAATACCTGTGCTGTACCATATTAAAATAAGTATCATTGTATCTAAAACCATACACCATATAGTGTGACCTTACACCATATAGGAACATTAGCTCAAAATGGACCAAAAACCCAAACGTAAGACATAGAACTATAAAACTATCAGAGAAAAACACAAAGAACAACATGGCACTGGACTTAGCAATGATTTTCTGGGTATGACACCAACCGCACAGGTAATGAAAGAATAAATTGGACTTCAAAATTAAAACCTTTTTTTGCATTAAAGGACAACATTTAAGTAAAAAGACAATCTACAGAATGAGAGAAAGTATTTGCAAAGCATCTATCTAATAAGGAACTCCCGCAAAATTTAGAAAAAAAAATTCAGGCATTTCTTCAAAAGATAACAAGTGACCAATAAACAAATAAAAAGTTGCACATCATTAGTCATTACAGAAATGCCTATCTAACCATACACAACCACCTCACACCCATTACTTTAGGTTTTTTGAGGCATGATCTCACTGTGTAGGCCAGGATGGACCTGAACTCAGTATCCTCCTGCCTCAGTTCACGAGTGCTGGGAATACACATATCACCACCACACCCAGCTTCTGTTAGAACAGTATTTCTCAAATAATAATAAAGTGTTGGCAAGGATATGGATAAATTTGATCCCTCTTGCATTGCAGGTGGGAATATGAAATGGCCCAGTCACTGTACAAAATAGTATGGCAGTTACTAAAAAAGATACAGATTACAGTGACTCGGCTTACTCTGAGCAATCTATAGATACAACATATGTTTTGCACAAACCAAATGATTCAGACCTTTCTATTGCACTGCTAATGAAATCAAATTATTCAAAAAGTTTTAAAAAATTATAGATTATCATATGATCCAGTGATTCCTAAGTATATGTTCAAATGCATTGAAAACAACCCAGCACTGGTGGCTCATGCCTATAATCCTAGCTACTCAGGAGGATCAAGGTTTGAAGCCAGTTCCAGGTAAATTGTAGGCAAGACCTACCTCGAAAATACCCAACACAACAAAGTGCTGGCAGAGTGACTCAAGGAGCAGAGTGCCTGCCCAGCAAGCATGAGGCCCCAAGTTCAAACTCCAGTACCACCAAACAGATGTACAGTCCCTGACTTAATTTTTCAACTTTAGGATGGTATGAAAGCAACAGGCACTTACTACAAACTCTACTTCAAATTTTGACTTGTGATCTTTTCCTTGGCTAGCAATATGCAGTAGGGTACTCTTCTGCAATGGAGCAGCAAGCCTCAGCAACTAGTGAGCCATTCAATCAGGAGGGTAAACCACCAATACGCTACATGTGCTGTGTTGCTAAGTTAGGATGTTTGGAGGGTTAAGTGTGTTAAATGTATTGTCAACTTACAGTATTTTCAACTTACAATGGCTGTAACCATTTTCAACTTACAATCAGGATGTAAATCCCATCATAAGACAAGGAGCATCTATACTTATACACCAACTTTCATAGCAGCATTACTCACAAGAGCTAGTAACTAAACAATCTAAGCGTCCATCAACAAATGAATAAACAAAACGTGAGAGAGATGCATGTATATCATATACACAGAATGGAATGTTACCCAGTCATTACAAATGTAATGAAATTTTGAAATATGCTGTAACATGGATGGACCTTACAAACATATGCTTAGTGAAATAAGCCAGAGGACAAATAAAATGATTAACATATAAGAGGTACTCAGAAAGTAGAACATTGTTTGCCGGGAACTGGGGGGGTGCGGATTTATTGTTTAAAGGGTACAGAATTTTTGTTGAGAAAGATACAAAAGTTTTGGGTACAGATAATAGAGATGGCTATATAACATTGTGAAAGTACTTAACACCATTAACACCACTTACTTGTATACTTGAGAATGATTAAAAAATAAAAAACTATATAATTTAACTACTAGTTTTTTAAAAAATGATTACAATGCTTGCTTTTAAAACAAAAATGGCTTACATTTGTCCTATAAAAGACATTGCTACAATCCTTCCTAGTACCTTTCCAATAAAAAATTGAAGGTTGAGCCCTCAATAATAAATTAATTAATTAATAAAAATCACTGATAGTGCTTTACTTACCCGTTTGGGGCCACTAAAAATCTTTCTGGTATTTTCCTTTGACTTATCTCCTTGTTTATTTATGGGCTTCTTCACACTTTCAGGCACACCAGGCAAGTCCTCTGTAAAATCCAAGTTTTCTGAAATGGTAATCAAAACTAGCTAGCTTTCTAATATTTCAAATTATCCACCACAAAAACCTATCTTTTTTTTTTTTTAAAAAACAATGCTGTGGGAAGACTAGAGGAATAAAAGCACCAGATTTGACAAAATACACTATTCTCACTTCCTGCTTCAAATACCTTCTTGTTTTATATGTGCTCTAGATTTGTGTTAATGGATAAATCAAATATTTAATAAATTTTGAACTACACAGGTCATGTTATCTATGGATACTAACACCGATAAAGTATAGTTTACACACATTTTTTTAGGTTCTAAGTCCAATGAATCATGTTATTAAATAATGCCGGCTTGCATCTACAAAGAAGGCCACATTTAAAAAAAAAAAAACAAGAAGCTCCAGTCATGGTGGTGGCACACCTACAATCCCAGCACTGGAGGCTGAGGCAGGAGGATTTTGAGTTCAAGGCCAGCCTGGGCTACGTAGCAAGACCCTGTCTCAAAAAAACAGAAAACAAACAAAAGCTAGCTATCCTTGGTAAAAGATATAAAATGACCAAGTACACGGTAGTTCAATGATTTATAGGTCTTCACACAAAACTCCTGAAGTATTAGATTACTTCCCAAATGGTTATAAACAAAGCCTAAACAAAAATGGAATGGGGAGGCTTTTCTCTACCCCAACTTTTTTAAATGTTTACTGCTTCACATTTATATAAAGACTCAATTCCAACATGGGACTTATTATCCAAACGTTTACTAATTTTCAAATGTTATTCATACCAAGTTTCTCAAAGTAACATAATTTCACATTTTAACATTTAAGAAGTTTTATTATCCTAACATGCAAAAGTCACAGATTTTCACTTGCAGATTGGATAACTCACTAGGGAAGGACAGAGCTCAGTTATTATACAGCATTACTTACCATATTTCAAGTATCTAGTAAGTTTGTTGCAAACTTCAGTTTTTCCAGAAGTGATTCAAGACCACAGTGGATAAATTCTGACAATACACCCCATTTTCCCCCAAGCAGGAGTAAAGGATGAGCCCCTAGGGGCTCCTGTTTAAACCCAGACTTAAAGCTAAGAATGATTCTAATCTGAGGGGTGAAGCTCAGTGGTACAGCATGTGCCTCACATGCTCAAGACCCTGAAAGTTCAATCCTATTACCAAAAAGAATGATTCCAGGAGAGCAGAATTATTTTTAGTCAAAATAAAGCAATGTGCTAAGTAGTCTCAAGTATGATATGCTTTACAGGAGACTCTACATTTAAGAATACTATTACAGGACTGGCAGAGTGACTCAAGTGGTAGAGCACCTATCTAGAAAGTTTGAAGTTTGAACCTAGGTTCAAACCCCCAGCACACCCACCCTCCCCCTCACCACACACACACACACACACACACACACACACACACACACACACACACACACACACACCCCCCCCCCCA